CTCTAAACAAATTCTAAAGCAGCAGAACCCACAAAAAGACAGAGTGAAACAAATTTCCAGCCCAAGACAACCTGGATGGTTGATTGGAAAGGTATACTGTGCTGGGCGGGGAGATGAGCGCAGTTTGGTGTGGGCGCAGGCCTCAGAGACCCTGGAGCAGGTCTCAGAGGGCTGAATTGCGGGCAACTGTGGCAATTTCCAGACTTCTCAACTCATAAATGCCAAAGACAACTTGGAACTTCTGAGGGGCAGTCCTGCAGCAAGGAGGAGTGCTGGTGTGGTGGAGCTTGTTGTGGCAGTAGAGAGAAAACACCTCGCTCCTTATCATAGCACCTTGGAAGAACTGAAAATTTTCAGGTACTTAGAAGTATCTTTAAAAACAGCTGTACAAACCCTTGAAGCTTAGGACAGTACATTCTCCACATTGGAAGTACACTCTTACCTTAACAAGGAGTTTAAAACTCAAGTAATTGGCTGGGATCATGAACAAACCTCACAAAAAGAGTCAGACTATATTATCTTACTTTGGTGACAAAGAAGATCAAAACATAAAACCAGAAGAAGATAACAAAGTCAAAACTCCTAATCCAAAGCCTCCAAGAAAAATATGAATCAGTTCCAGGCCTTGGAAGAGCTCAAAAGGGATTTTGAGAAGCAAGTAAGAGAAGGAGAGGAAAAACTGAGAGTGATGCAAGAAAATCATGAAAAACAAGTTATCATCTTGCTAAAGGAGACCCAAAAAATACTGAAGAAAATAACACCTTAAAAAATAGCCTAACCCAAATGGCAAAAGAGGTCCAAAAAGTCAATGAGAAGAAGAATGCCCTAAAAATCAAAATTGATCAAATGGAAAAGGAAGTTCAAAAGATTACTGAAGAAAATACGTCCTTCAAAATTAGAATAGAGCAATTGGAAGATGGTGACTTGATGAGAAATCAAGACACTGTAAAACAAATCCAAAAGAATGAAAAATTAGAAAACAATGTGAAGTATCTTATTGGAAAAACAACTGACCTGGAAAATTGATCCAGGAGAGAGAATTTAAAAATTGTTGGACTATCTGAAAGCCATGATCAACAAAAGAGCCTAGACATCATCTTTCAAAAAATTATCAAGGAAAACTGTCCTGATATTTTAGAACCAGATCACAAAATAGAAATTGAAAGAATCCACCGATCTCCTCCTGAAAGAGATCACCAAAGGAAATCTCCTAGAAATACTGTAGCCAAATTCCTGAGTTCCCAGGTAAAGGAGAAAATATTGCAAGCAGCCAGAAAGAAACAATACAAGTATTGTGGAAACACAATCAGGATAACACAAGATTTAGCAGCTTCTACATTAAGGGACCACGGGGCATGGAATATGATATTCCAGAGGGCAAAGGAGACGGGATTATAACCAAGAATCACCTACTCAGCAAAACTGAGTGTAATCCTTCAGGGGACAAAATGGTCATTCAGTGAAATAGAGGACTTTCAAGCATTCTTGATGATAAGATCAGAGCTGAATACAAAATTTGACTTTCAAATACAAAACTCAATTGGAACATGAAGAGGTAAACAGGAAAAAGAAATCATAAGAGATTTATTAAGGTTAAACTGTTTACATTCCTACATGGAAAGATGATATTTGTAACTCATGAGATCTTTGTCAGTATTAGGGTATTTGGAGGGAAAAAATTATATGTATGTAGATAGATAGATAGATAGATAGATAGATAGATAGATAGATGGCACAGGGTGAGTTGAAGATGAAGGGGTCATATCTGGAGAATAAAATTAAGGGGTGAGAGAGGACTATACTAGGAGAAGGAGAAAGGGAGAGGTAGAATGGGGTAAATTTTCTCACAAAAAAAAAACAGAAAAGAAAAGGCTTTTACAGTAGAGGGGAAACAGGGGAAGGTGAGAGGGAATGAGTGAATCTTCTTCTCATAGGATTTGACTTAAGGAGGGAATAACATACACACTCAATTGGGTATGGAAATCTGTCTTACCCTACAGGAAAATAGTGGGGGGAGGGGACAAGAGAGTAGTGGAATGATAGAGAGGAGGGCAGATTGGGAAAGGCGGTAATCAGAAGCAAATACTTCTGAGGAGGGACAGGATGAAAAGAAAGAATAGAATAAATGGGGGGAAGGATAGGATTAAGGGAAATAGAGTTAGTTTTTCACAGCATGTCTACTATGGAAGTGTTTTGCATAACTGCACATGTATAGCCTATATTGAGTTGCTTGCCTTTTTAATGAGGGTGGGTGAGGAGGGAGGAAGGGAGAAAATTTGGAACCCAAAGTTTTAAAAATACATGTTTAAAAAAATATTTTCACATGCAACTGGGAAATAAGAAATACAGGAAATGGGGTACAGAAATCTATCCTTCCCTACAGGAAAATAGAAGGGGAAGGGGATAAAAGAAGGGGGGAGAGAAATAGAAGGGAAGGCAGACTAGTGGAAGGGGTGTTCATGAATGCATGCCATCCTGGGGTGGGGGGAGGGGTGAGATGGGGTGAAAATTTGGAACTCAAAATCTTGTGGAAGTAAATGTTGAAAACTAAAAATAAATAAATTTATTAATTAAAAAAATAATTAGAAACAGGGGGCACTAAGCTATACATAATGATCCCCATAGACTGTATATTGATTTAGAAAACCACATATTAACACTATTTATGTTCTGTTTTATTTTGGAGGCAGCTAGGTGGTGCAGTGGATAGAGCACTAGGCTTGGAGCCAGGAAGAACTGAGTTCAAATCCAGCCTCAGGCACTTACTAACTGAGTGACCCTGGGCAAAGTCATTTAACCCTGTTTGCCTTACTTTCCTCATCTATAAAATGAGCTAGAGAAAGAAACGACCAAGAAAACCCCAAATGGGATTACAACTGAACAACAACACAATTTTTACTTTTTTTATTCATTTCATATCTCCCAAATAGACTTTAATCTAGTTTTCACTGCATTCAGGAGTGTTGCCAGTCATAATGAAGCTGATGGGTCATGTTTCTGACACCTCCACTGTGCTTCCTGTATAGTCATTAAATATGGATTAATATTTCCATCTGGATTCTTTACCAATCTGGATTAAACTTTCAAGTTCAAATGTTCCTTTGACCAAAAAGTCAACAAGAATGGCATAGTGGAAAGAGTACTGATTCTAGACTCAGAAAAGCTTGCTTTAAATCTCACCTTGGAAGTTTGTTTAGTACCTGTAAGATCCTGAGCAAGTAAGTTAGCTTCTGAGGGTCTGGATCAGGAGATAAGCTTTGAGGCCCCTTTCTAGATCTTTATCTATGATCCCTGATTCTGTGTTTCTTTGAAAGAGTAGGGGGTACATACGCTCATTCTAGGGCAGCTTGGTGGCACCATAGCTCACAGAGTGTGGGTCCTGGAGTCAGGAAGACTTGTCTTCATGAGTTCAAATTTGGCCTCAGACACTTACTAGCTGAGTCAAGTCACTCTAGTCAAGTCACTTAACCCTGCTTACCTCAGTTTCTTCATCTGTAAAATGAACTGGAGAAGGAAATGGCAAACCACTCCAGTATCTTTGTCAAGAAAACCCCAAATAGGGTCACAAAGAATCAGACATGACTGAATAACATTCTATTCCTTTCTATTAGAATTCTATTAGAATCCTGCCTTTGAGTGCCGAGAATTGTCCAAGTTTATTGTAAGATCACCATGGAGTTTGTGGTGGATGGAATGAAGTGAAATGTGATTGAGCTTTCCTAAAATGATGTAGGAGAGGCAGAGCCCAGAGAGGGAAGAACTATTCAATCACAACTGTCTAAGCTCCATTCTGTATTGTTACATCTCTAGTCTATTATGATGTCCCACCGGTATATGCATTTCTGAAAATTAGGGTTCCAGTCACTCAGTCAATAATATTTATTAAGTGCCTATTATGTTCCCGTATTATGGGGAAACAAAGAAAGGCAAAAGACAATCCCTGCTCTCATGGAATTCACAGTCTAATGGGGGAGTCAACATGCAAACAAGTATAGACAAACAAGATATAGACAGGGTAAATTGGAAATAATCGACAGAACAATGGCATTAAAATTAAGGGGGACTGGGAAAAGGCTTCTTGTATAAGGCAGGATTTTAGCTGGTATTTGAGAGAAACTAGAGAAGTCAGAAGCTGGAGACGAGGAGGGAGAACATTTTAGGCATGGAAGACAGCCAGTGACAATTCCCAGAATCAGGAACTGGAATGTCTTGTTCAAAAAGAGGAGGTATAGGGTGTAAGAAGACTGGAAAGGTGTGGGGAACTACAATATGGTTTACCCATAAACAACTTTTTTCTTATGACTAACGAAATAAGTAGGAATACTTGAATATATTAAATCTATTATATCTGAGATATTTGCCCATAGCTCCCCTCAGACTCAGACAGGTCTTAACCAATTTATAAGCATGAACCAAACCCATACTTTCTTGTACCTGAGTTAGACATTTAAACTCAGACCTTCTTACCTGCTGTTCCCATTGGAAGACAGTTAACAAACATCCCTAGGTGCCCTCAGAGTTAACAAGCATCCCCAGTTCTGGGCTTACCATGGATTTTCTAGTCGAATTTTAAGCTCATGGTTTTCTATAGAGTCAATGTCCAGCTAGTTGTGGGATTCACAATCTGGGTAACTCAATTGGTCTCACTCTCTCTGCCTTAAGGGTAGCCACCAGCAAGAATTTGGTTGCTGATTCCCCTCCTAGTCAGTCCCATCTCCTGACTGCCCTGCTCCAGGCATGCCTCCAGTCTTTCATCCTTCCTCATTCCCTTCATGAGCTTGCTACCATCCAGAGGCATAGCCTTACTATCACAGTCTCATTACAAAAAGAAAAAAAATATGCTGTAGGTTCAGAAGCAGGTTCTCTACGTGCTCATAATATTGTGTTTTCTCTCTGCCTTTCCTTGTCTTTAAGTACATGCACTAGTCCCTGACTAGATCATTTCCACCCCACTCCCCTGGCTCTTTTCACATTAGCCAAAACTTGATGGGCTCACCTACCTTCAGAAGTTTTATGGGTGTCTGCTGAGGTATAGATATAATTCCTACCATGGAAGCTCAGCATGTTATGTGGAAAGTGGAAGGGTCACTAGAGTTGGAGGCAGGAAGATCTGGATTCAAATCCAACTTTGGACAACAGGTACATGATGGTGAGCAAGTTGCTTAACCTCTCTGTGCCTCAGTTTCTTCATCTGTAAAATGAGGGATTTAGATTTGATTGCCTCTAATATCACTTCTACCTCTAAACATAAGTCCCACGACCTTTGGGGAATGGCAACCATGCTATAGTGAAAAGAGTAGGCGGAGAATCAGTAGGTCCTGGTTCTAATCCCAACTCTTCAACTTAACTAGCCATATATATAGTCTTGTACTCTTAACCTTTATGAGCCTCAGTTTCTTCCTTTCTCAATGGAGAGTTAAGTTAAATGATTGCAAAGTTCTTCCAACTTTATGGTTGATTCTAAGAACTATTCCTGCAGTTACAAAATGCTGCTTTGAGCTAATATTTATCAGTACTTTGCAAGATGCTGTATATTTCAATTCATTTCAACAAGCACAATTCATTAGGCATATGCGTTGTTCAAGGAAATGTGCTTGGCATTGACCTTAAATTTGGCCACGTAGTCTGAACACGCAAACATGCATTTTGTCCTTCACTTTTTAATAGAAATTTTTTCATTAATATATTGAAAAAGATAAATCTAATAGGAGATAATCTTATCAAGCAAGGTTTAAAGAAACAAATGCCTAGGTACGATTTAGTGCCTCTTAAAATTAAGGTTTAACTGCTATGAGTTTTTACCTTTTCCATCATTCTGATTTATATCTTCAAGGAGAGAAACCTTATCTTCTTCATCTTAAAATGCCCTGGGTTTGTACATGACTTAACAACTTGGCTTTATCACTTAGAGCTAAGAGTTCGAAAGCTTCTTTTCACAGCTCTGGTCTCTGCCTGATCTTTCAGTCTTAGTCTTTCCATTAGTCCTTCACCTGAATCAGACTCTACTTCTTTTATAGGTCTCTGCTCCCTTCAATCCATATATCAAACGCAGAAAAAGAGAAAGGAACTCCATATATGGTGTCTCACAGTTCAACCCAATCAGTATTTTTTTTGTGTGAATGTCATGTATGAGATACTGTGTGAGGAGCTAGGGTTGTGGTGATATGTACAATACAGACATTACTCTCATGTATCTTACTTTCCAATAGAGGAGTTGACCTAACCTGTTATCTACTAAAATATTCAAGTAGCTCATAATTATGTGGTGCGCCAGTAAATATTTAACAACTGGGTTCTTGGCCTCCTGTAAGTCCCAACTAAAGTCTCATCTACAGGAAGACTTTGCCAACCCCTCTTAACTCTAGTACCTTCCCTCTTTTAATTATTTCCTACTTACCCCATATATACTTATTTGAACATATTTGTTTGTTTGTTGTCTCTTCTATTAGATTGTGAGCTCCTGGAAGACAGGGACTGTCCACTTCTTGTTCTTATTGGTCTTCTTCTTCCGCTACTTCTTTTTTTTGTTCTTCTCATTGTCATCATCATCAATGTTGTCATTGTCCTCTTCCTCTTTCTTCTCCTCCTCTTCCCCAGTGCTTAGCACAATAGCTGGCACTTAGTGCTTAATAAATGTGTATTGACTGATTGACTCTGAAAAATAAATGTTCATAAGACACATTTTTATGTTTAATCTACATTATTATATTCTCCATTACTTTTCAAAGTCTAGCTGCTTAGGAAGAAGAAGAAGAAGAAGAAGAAGAACAACAACAACAACAACAACAACAACAACAACAACAACAACAACAACAA